ACTCCCTTTCAAGATGGGCTTCAAGGCATAGCTTTACATTGAGAGATGTGAGAAAGCATCACGCCTTTGGGTTTAGCTGCTATCAGGTATCACAACGCCCGTGATGCATTCGGGGAGCTGTGGGGTTCATGCACCTAAAGAATTTTAGCTGCCCAGCTTTCAGAGAAGCCCTTTATGGATCCAGCCAGCAGTGACATGCCCCAAGCTATACATCATGTTGACTGTTGAGCAAAAGTCCAAGTCTGTGTCTTTCAAGATGGGCTAGTGCCTCATCCAAGACTGTCCCAAGTATTTTTTTTTTGTTTTTTTCCCTCTTTTTTTCTTTTTTTCCCCTTGTGATGTGCTGAGGAAGCTACTATGTGGACCTTGTCTCCATTTCTCGGCGACTGTAAAACATGTGGTCTGTATATGTTTAGGTCAATGAGGGTTTTGATAGTAAGTGACAAGTGGTGGGTGATTATTATTTTTAATCAAATGTACTGCTTAACATTTATAAATATGGAGAAAATATTTGGCGCTTTTGAGCACCTGTCACCTCCAGGTAAATAATTTAATAGCACGTGAGGAAGCCAATTAGATTTAATTAGAAATTGACTGATCTATTTTGGCACCAAAATAATTGGAAAATATGGTCTATCCTTTCTGGAGTAGGGATTTCTCTCTTGTATGCACACACGAGTGAGGAAATATATTGCTTTATGGTCAACAAGTAGTATTCCTTTGAGGAAAAAAGCACTTTATAAGCCAGATATGTAACAGCAGTTCAGGCAAAAACAGGGGCACAAATCCTTATAGACAAATAGCTGTGCAGTTCCTCGGCTTTATTTCATGGTGATGGGCATGCTGGAAATGTCTAGAAGATTAATAGATTCAAATTCAGTGATCAAAAAATGGGAGCATGTCAAATGGATCATTATAACAGATTCCCACTCTATCCCACAAGCCAGATTTGAGCCATCTGTAAGCTTCATATTCCTGCTCTAAAATCTTTTGCAGCCATAAAAGACAATAAGTATCAGTAGGAAAAAAAAAAAATCAATTTCTTGGCTTTGCAGCCTGAAAATATAGTGGTGGGACTACAGGGAGAGGAAAAACTACTGATTATCAGGGTTGTAGTATTTAAGGTTTGGTTTGTTTTTTTTTTAAGCAAGTTAAAGTGGTAGGCTGTATTTAGGAAGCTACATTGTATTAGTGGTTAAAGAAGTATTTCTAGAGAGTGAAGTCAGCATCTTGCACTTAGGCTGTGGGGGAATCAGTGACTGCCATCTTAGATGTTCTCTGTCCAACATCTAGTGTACTCCCAGGAAGTTTCTAGAGGATCTGTGCTGATCAAGAGTGTAGATAATTTATGAGTCTGATTTTTTTTAGCTCCAGAAAGTTGATGCTAAAAACAAATATTTAGCACTCTCTTGAGGGCTTTCATGGTGTTAAGCTGCGTCTAGTCCTTGCACAGCTATTCTTGGTGAGGGGGGATAGGGAAAACTATATGAAGTCCCATTTTCATTCCAATGGTTGACCAGTGATTTCATTCTCCATGCTCTAGGGATTACACATTGTTATACACTGATGTTTTCTTGGACCTCAAGACCCACGTGCAAGAAGGAACAGTGCTGGGGGAGGAAGGGCAGGCAGAAATGTGGCTGTGCCCCGGTCTTTCTGCGGCAGATCTAACGGTTGCAACAGGGAGCACATCCACAGATCCTAACCCTGTGGTGTTCCCCAGCACTGCTCTTGCAGTGACACCTCTGAGAAAGCCACCTGTGCTTTTCTAATGTTCTCCACCAGAGGAAAGACTACTTAAGATAAATGTCTTTTCATGTAGGTATTTATACAGGAAATACTCATTTTTTCCTTCTCATATTACGAAACTGGTGGAAGGTTTGGTTGAACCATGCTGCTCAACTCTATATTGGAGTGCAATTATGTCTGCAAGGTGCTGGTGCCACAGCCACTTTCAAAATATTAGCTTTTTGCAGATATTGTTGCCTGGAAGAGGGCACGTGGTCTTGACAAAGCCTCCTCTGCAAGCAGTGAATCACAAGGCAATGAGCCACAGGAAAGGCTAATCTAAAAACTCAAGGTGCGCAAAAAAGATGGCAGTAATGTTTATCTCCCTGCCATAGGAACAGTGCCCATAATAGCCATCTGTGGAAAATGGAGATATTCCAGCTTGTGGAAGGCACCACAACAGCACTCTAGTGAATTAATCATGCGCTGTTTGAGGCCTTCACCTCACACGTGGGATGCATTTCGTGTCTCTGAGATATTCTATGCTGAAAGCTGTGTGCTGAGATACTGTGGACTTCTTTCTGTGCACAGCAGTCATGAACCTTTCTCATTTATTTTTTTAATCATGGGGGAGGATTATTTTCAGAACAACAGGGTCTGAAATTTAAATCTGTGCAGGTTTTAAACAGGCTGATGTTTCTGAAGTCTTTTACGCTGTCTGATATTAGGAGATTAGTTTGAGACAAGATCTTTCCATCCTCATAAAGGTTTGAAGTTATTTTGTAGCGAAGCTGTTAATAATTGGCTAGAGATTTTATAAATATACGTATATGGTTTCCACTGAAGACTTAAGCTAAAGAGTGATTTCTCATAACCTTCATAACCCAGTCCAGATGTTCAAGTCCCATTTCCCTATGTTCCTACAGATGGATGCCAAAAATTTAGGGAAATTTGCAGTGTTTCTCAATGTAGTATATATAATATACTGTATTATGGAGCTAAGAGATATAAGAGCACAGACTATTGCCCCAATTTCTGCAGCTATTTTCCTCACTAGCAATAGAAAGTATTTAATTCTTAAGCTCTAATGGTGAGAGTTCTCCAAGGGAGCCTTATTTTTTCCTGTCCCAGGCCAACCATAATGCAGCTGACTAAAGCTAAGTCCCTCCTGATTAGTTTAATGGTAGCTAAATAGTGCAGAAATAGCAAGAAGCCACCAATTCTTCTGATAACACTGCCTTCCCAATGTCTGTGGTAATCAGCAGCATGCTGTCCAACATCTAAAAGTCTCTAAATTAAACCAGCATTTCAATTTTCCTTTCTAATAATTTTCCTTTTTTTTTTTTTTTTTTTTATCCAATAATATCAGTGCTAGACTTTCAGAACTGATTGGGTTCAAAGTGGAGATAAAACATTAGGGAGAGTCCAGAGAGTTCAGCTTGGAAGTCGTCTATTCTAATCACCAACCATATTCCTGTAAAGCACAAAGGGTCTCTCTTTTTATTTATTTTTTTTTATTAGAGAAGCGGGCACTGGCCTTTAAAATCCTTACAGCTACGGAGAACATTTTTTTTGCATCATGTATCATGGAAAACATCAAGCCCTCATCTGCATAGTAAATGTTATCAGCTGGGTTAATTGTGAGGATATAGGGCATCATTCAAGGTTTACAAGACAGCTACGCTCTTGGAGATACTGTTTTTAAAATGCTCCAATGCTACCTTTTTGAAAGCAGCATTTGGCTGCAGAGTGCTACTATTTAACGGGTTTAACATTGCTAAAAGTTGAGACACTGATGCCATTATTAAATTTAATTCTGTGCACAAGCAAACAGTTTATCATAGTCTGTTTCCAGCAATTGCAATCCAATTTTTGTTATCTTACATTGTTTAAAAAAGAGAGAGAGAGAAAGATACTGTACATCAATCTGATAAAAATGTTTAAATAACTGGTGCTTTTTTGTGATTATGTCAGTTTTATGGCAGCATTATGGAAACACGACAGGGTAACTAAAATCTGATTATGTCTAAGTCCTTGGCCATTATGTGATTATTATGAACCATGACTTCTACTGGCACATTATAAATTACATGGTCATAATACAAGGGATTTCCAATATAATTAACTGAGATTAGCAGCACTAGAGAAATCTGGGAATAATGATACAACTTTGAACAATCAGTTTTACTGTAAATGCTGCTAGCTCTGGCTTCCAGGAAACAGGAGGCTGGTGGCTGTATGCCTGACCTACCTGCTGGGGTTTCTTACACCTCCTCTCTCCTCCCTCCTCCCGTGAAATTAATTGCAACCTTGCCAGAGTGTTAGGAACTCCCTCTTTTACTCTTTTCTTCTCGTAGTATGCTGATAAAACTCAAGACTGGCTAAAATTTTCAGAAACGTCAAAGGTCTTTAGATACCTCCTATTGGAGGGGCTTAGCCTGAAACTGGAAAGGGCTTTGCTTTAGAAAACATAGAAATATCTGCTTATTGAAGAACAGATCCGTTTAAGACGGCTCAAGTTTGAGCACTTAAAGGCAGAAAGTCATGAAAATCACAGATTAGTTTCAAAGATCACAGCCAAGGTCATTTTATTTCTGTAGTATCTCAGGCAGGCAAGAAGTCTTTCTCTCCACAAAAACCTCAGCTTTTGGATTCTTAGGCTGCTGAAGAGAAAGCTGACTGTGTCTAGAGGGTGTTGTTCACTACTGGACCTGTCCTTTCTCATGCAGGAAAAAAAAAAGGATTTCTACACAGATCTATTGGCCATCTTCTGACTTTTGAGAAAGAAGGGCAAGAGAGTGCGTGATGGAAATGCTGTAGTGAAAAAAAAGATACTAAAATGGACCTTTTGTTTAACCAAAGGATTAAACATTTCACCCAGTAGTGCATGGGCAGCTGAGGTAGATTGGGGAACTCCCCTGATTACTGAGACCTCATTTGTCCTTGATAGAGCTGGGATTAAAGAGAAGATCATTTTTTTTCATTGTATAGGACTTAGATTTCCTCCATACATACAGTTGAAAACTTACAGAAAAATACAAAATCACCTGAGATTTTTTGGTTTGCTCCAGTGCCCCCTCTCCTTCCATGACTTATTTATAGCTCTCAATTTTCAGATTTCATGTGGAATTGCATCTCAGGATTTTAATTAAACCATACACATCCCAGGTTTGTGCTCCTTGTTCGCTTTGATATTATTACACCCAGTCACTACAATTACTGCCTTTCCTTTGCTTTGCTGTGGTGGTGATGGTACTTCTTTAACCTCCTACCTCCAGTGCTGTTGAGAACTTCTCCACTGCTGCTGCGTAGTTATTCTCCCTGTAGCAAGTGCTGGCTTCCTGGAGGGTCATCTGAAGCTGTTTGTCAATCTGGGACAGAGCGCTGCCATTAGATGCACCTGGAACATCTGCTTTTTCAGAATCACGACGCGCTGGTTGTGTGCTTGTAAACACCATAGGCTCAGCAAACTCGAAGGAAATGTCCTCCTCGTCAGTGTAGACCAACTCCATTTCTATGTCCGTTAGGCTTTGCAGAGGAATATGAGACAGAGGTGTTTGGCTTAACCGATTTTCAGTTTCTGATGCCATTGCTTCTTCTTCCACAGCTAGTTGTTCATTGTCTTCGGATTCCTGTTTACGGCTTGATCTGTCAACTTCATGACTTTGTTTTTGCTTCTCTTTCTTTGCCATTTTTATCCTCTCAGTGTTGCTTTCTGATGCCATAACTTGAGGAAAAAAAAGAATCCTAGGAGAAAATGTAGAAAAGTTAAGAATACTGAAGGGTTACAAAGCCAGAAAAGTATGCAGCTGCTTTCTCTACTAGGTATATTGTAGGCACCATTGTGAGAAAAAACTCTTCAATAGTTAGTACATAGAATATCAGACTTGCTGTAATTTCTTTCTTTCCTGTGTAAAAGTTTAAGGTCCCTTAAATATTTTTGGTAGCTCTTAATAATGGATTTTTGTTTCTGTAAAGTAATGCCAGTGTATCAGTTTTTTTATATCTGCAACAAGCAGGGAAAACCTGGCTTTTGATCAAAAGAAAAACAACCAAAACTCTGTGACTGATTGACTCACGTTATATGTTGTTATGGGGTGCAAAAAATCACTGTAGCCTGATTTTTGAGAGCTGGTAAGCACGGTGACTGCAGTCGGAGAGGGGTCTTCAACAATCAGGCAGAGGGGATGTATTCCAGAGGGGCACAACCTCCAAGTGAGGTCCCAGCTTCAGCTGCGTTTGAGCCAGATTCAGATCCTGATTTGGGTTTCAAAGCCATTTCTTACTGAACTGTCTGCAAAGGACATTTGAGTGTTGCTGCTAAGAAGCAACACTCCCCTAGTAGTTAACAGCGAATTCTCAGTTCAGGGAACCAGTAGTGAATTCAAACAGGTACAAGAAGCTGGAGAACCAAGTTCATAAGCCTCTTCTCAACACCAGTTCCATACAATAGGAAAGGTGACTTGTAAACTCGTAATTGTACTCAGATTCAAAAGAAACGCTGGTTTTCATCCGCCCCTGCTGATTTCAGAGTGGAAAGGTGGAAGGCATGGGTAATTTTCTTCTCAGTTTTTCCATCAATTATGAGAAGTTTAATTGTAAATAGCTTTAATGATGACCATCTTTCAAGAATGGTTTGTTAAGCATGAGCACTCAGCCTTTAACCTTCTGTTATTGTTCAACAGACCTCCATACATTTAGCACCAGTTTAATATACTTCGCTAGAGGTACAGATTGTACAAAGGAAAGATACATAATAAATGCATTTCTGTTCAACCAGAAACAGATTTTAAACAACAAGCAGCTTGTGGAGTTTTAGTGAGGGCCCTACAGTATGCCCTACTGTATTCCTACAGTGGAAAAAGCTGCTAGAATGTGTCCTGCGTGCTGTGATACAACGAACCTTTATTGTTTGGGGCAATGGGCGGAACCATATAGAAAGGTGTAAAGTGAATATGTGAAGGCATTTTAGGCCGTATGAGAAGCTGGTGCTGAATTTTTATATACCTAGGGTTTCAAACCTCGGTCATGCTCCCCCCGCCCTTCCCCTGGCTAAGCTGGATTGCAGCCAGGACCATCACCAGCCCTGAAGCAGGGAACTTGTTGGTTTTGACATCTGTTCACAATCTCCAGGCTGAAAACTTTACTGTAGCAGAACTGCTTGAGGAGAAACTTATTCCTCTTTCCACGACTGCAAGAGAAGGAGCGAGAGGTGAGGGGATAATTGTGTGATTTAAGGTAATTTCAGCAGACTTTTTTCAGCAATGTGCTGAGCAATCACAACTCCTGCTGAGTTCAAAGAGGATGGAAAACCACTGGCCCTTCCCAGATAGTGCTCCGCACTTGTCAGAATAGAGCTCAAAGGAATCATATTTATAGCAAGCTATTTTGAATGGCAGCAGTAAAGCAGCTGGAAAAGGCTAATGTACTTGCATCTGGCAGCAATTTTACCTGTTTGTAAGACATTCAATCCCTTTTTAAAACAAACCATAGCATAGCCCAAAGATTGGAAGCTGTGTTTTTCAGTGCTGGCTTCAGCACTAGGTGATTTAGGAAATTATGATTTATCTTCACTGTGCAGTGGAGTACAGATACTCCAGCCAGCCCCAGCTGAGGGGATGAGCCTGATGATCTTGGTGCCATGTCATGCCAACGTGACTGTCACGTGGGACCTGTGATGGACCTCCATGTGGCCCTGCAGTATATGGTTGTACCATGTTCTGGAGGGGGAACACAGGGCTTTCACAGCCTCTTGGGTGGGCTGTTCACTGAAGGTCCTATAGAGCTCTAGAAAATGAGATTTAAGTGTTTACATCATATATAAGTCTGCAGGAATTTTCCTCTGAGCAACCAAATAGTACCGAGGAGCCCTCAAGCAGAATTAGCAGACTCTTCTCCTCACCAGAAAGCTCACAAAGCCCTGTATCTGATGAGGGGGTTGATATCAGTTTGAATGAGAAATTGTCTGGACCAAACTGTTTGCTGTGAGACTGTCTTAAGAATTTTAAAATAATTTACTGTGGAATAAAAAAAAGCAGAGCACAAACTGTGAAATACAGACCAATAATTCTTTAATCACTCAGGGATATTTCTCTGGTGGACCAGCACCTGAAATGAACTTTGTATCAAGTGGATTTATACTGCTCCTATTGTGTCTTTAGGTATTCAAACTGATTAACATGACTTTGGGTTGTGCAATGGAAACATGTTATAACCCAGGCAGGCTCACTTTAATCACTGCCTCAATAAAAAAACACTTCCAGGGAAAAGCTTTTAGAAAATCATTATCTTTGTCAGTTAAGTATATTCCTGAGACTTTGGTTAAAATGTCTGGTTTTTATTTTGGATGCATTTACTGTAAAATGCTTCTAATGAATCGCTATGCAGGGGAATATAGATAGACAATTCAGCACTATAGTCAGAAGGAAACTACTCTAAATTCGTGAGCTCTCAGGAATGATCTTCCTGATCAGTTATAAGCAATTTCAGCTTTCTGCATATTTGAGGGTTAATCTTTGCCAAGAGACTCCTGTCCATGTCCTTTTCAAACGGAGCGGCTTACATGAAAAAAATATAAATGCAAAAGGAACATAAGGATATTTATCTTTTAAAATTTTCTGGTTTTATATGTTGATTTCCCAGTATATCCAAGAAAACCTTCTTGGGGAGAGAGGCCTGCCTACTAGATAAAGTAACTTCCTTATGTGCGTGATCTTATGAACCCTGTTACTCATACTTTTTGTTCTGTATCTAGTTTGATTCTGCTTTTAACACCTTCTCCTATTATCTCACATCAGATTAGAGCAGAACCTGCTGATAAATCACACTAGCACTTCAGGTGGCACCTAGTTGTTAAATTCTTTGCCAGTTCTTTGATGAGCCCTTTTTTCTTCAGAATTTAAACTTTGATTTCAACCAAAAAAGCTTTTGGCCTTACAGTTGTGAAGCAAAACCTTTCTAAACACCAAAGACTGCAGTGCTATGTTCCTGAATCTGCATGTACCGAGGCAGAACCGTTGGGCTACGTTCAGCATTGATTTAAGTGGAGGGAGAGGAGAGAGGAATGTCTTCTAGTAGTTCTCAGAGGGGATTAAGCTGCCTTGAAGCTGAACCATTACATTGCCGTTCTCAGCTCTTCAGGACATGAATTCTACGGGGCTGCACTTCAAGAAAAGGCCTTTTTCCCAATTTCAGTGAAGTCTTTCAGTAGACAGCACAAGTTGCTGTTTTTGAGGATCACAGTTGCTTTTTGTGGCAGAGGCTGTGGAGAAAGAACCAAATTCAATGAGAGATTCCCCAGCGCTGGCCTACTGGATCACACCCATTCATGGTTCAGAGGTCTAGGGCGACAGTACTGCAGCTAGGAAGAAGAAAGGGGACTCAATGACTATTTTTCTTACTCTGAAGCAGGTTCCTTACGCTGACCATTCGACAGCAGTCCAAGTGGACCCATGCTCTGACATTGAATGTGCCCCATAAGTGCCTTGTTAAAGCTCAGACACAAATTAATCATCAGATCTGGAGGCAGCAATAATTCTCCCTCTTCCCCACCCCAATCGGAACTAGCAGGCGTTTCTGTTGTCACTGTTTTATTTTATTTTCACTTCCTCTGCAGCATAAGGTACAAGCTGCCTCGTTCAGGATGGTCTGGCTGTACCTCATCTGCTATCCCAGAAGCTCTAGTCATTAGTGGTCCATCTGTATTTTGTGCTCTCTACTGTGAATGTTCAGTGCTGCAGTTTCTAGAGGATAACATCACAACATTTTTCAGCCAGAGCATGGCTGTATCGGCAACACACGTGCATTTTGTGTAAAGATATCCCATCTGTCTTTCAGTGAGCTCACTTGTGTACTAGCAGCCATATAGTTGTGTTAGCCTGATAGCCCACCATGGCTACTTCACCCTGCTAGAAGATACATATGATGACAGCTGCCGTATTGGTGTACTAGTTAGACAGTGATGAGACTCTTCCAGAAAGTTATAGGAATCCAACTCTTTCATCTATAATATTCTTTTTCTCCCGGAAGGCCATTTGAAATCACAGGGCAGTCATCTGCTACAGTTCATTTCAGTGCAAATGTTGGAACAGGCAGAACTGCATCCAAATCTATGGAGCAAGTATAAGAAAATTATACCACTGGTACTTGTACAAGTGTTATCCCACTCTTTCAATGTCCTCTAGTAGAGACAGAGAAATATAGTACTGTAACAAAACACATCCAAAGCCCCACAACAAACAAGTCATTAGCTGCCCTCCTCTGTAATAATTTCACTTATATTGAATTCCAGATATCCTGATCCATCTCTAAGGTGAGGATGCTCCAGTTTCATCACTTAAAAATGGAGCAAGATTTATCTGTATTAGATTTACAGACAGGCTTTCTGAATGAGCGTGTGCACTGACAACAACTATGCTGAGATCTGAACTGGAGATTTTTCCAGTCCATCTTTCAGCGGGATGACTTTTTAAGCACTTCTTTTACTGCTGAATACCACAAAGGCTCAGACAATCTATTGATGACGAAGGTCAGCACCTTCTTAGCAGCCCATAAAGTGAGTCTCTCACAATCAGGTTTCAGACTTTTTAAGATTCTAGCCATTTCTTTAGGCAATGAAGCAACGTAGTTCTTTCATCTTGCTATTTTTATTGTTTGAAAGCCTGAGTCACATCTGATCTTTTTTATTTTTAGTTTTCTTTTGGGGAAAAAAAACCCTTAATGTATC